TTGCTCATTCTTGTTCATATCACATTGTATATCTATCTTACAAGAATAATTTGTTAATTAGTTTTAATCGACATTAATATCTAATAAGATTAGCAATAACCCTATTCAGCCCCCCTCCTCTAGGGTGTTTTCACATTCATGATATAACATCACATAAATATTCTCAAATTGTTTAGCGTAGGTTGAAAATCACTTCTTGATGGCACTACATTGCCAAATGAAATTATTTTTCATGCACAACGCCTTTATCACGAAGTGAGACGTTATAATGAACATTTGGTCAATGGATATAAATTTTGAACGCTAGAGACCAATGATAGGAGGGTAACCCAGAATAGTGGGGTCATGGATTTGATTTCTCAAGAATGTTTTTCAAGTATAAGAAATCAGAACCCAATTCTAGCTGACATACTATATTATGGCCAATTAGAAGATATTGTTGAGGTAATTTACGGGTTTGGTAAACCAAAACAATGTAGTTATACGATGTTCAAGGTTCGGTGGTGTCCTGCAAAAAATCAAAAGGATCATTATGGATTTACACTAGTCAATCTCCATCAAGAAGTATATACAGATGGGAAATTCATTTTCACAGAACAAGCTGATCAGTGCTTTTTTGTGAAAGATCCGAATATCATGTCGGATTGGGTGGTTTTGTACAAGGAGCCAAGATTTGTTGTTCTTCCTAATAACAATAAAAAAAATATTGAAGAAAGTGAAGATAATTATAATGAACCAATTGGGTCATCAGATGACGTTTGGCAAGAATTCTCTTACACGCAGAATGTGACGCTTGATTTAGGTATGAACTATATATGTTACACTGCATTTTCGATTTTCAGATTATCATATTAAAAACAATAATGCATTTCATAATAATATATCTCATGAGCATGTAAATAATTTTTCTTAACTGTGATGAAAATTGAATTTGTAGATGAACAGGGTGAGGAGGCTCTTCGGCCCAGATGGTGATCGAAGACGGAGTATCACCCCGAGTACTGGTGCTGATGATACACCACCATCTCTGGATGCAGGTATAAAAATTATTTCAATATCTTTTGTAAATTATTAGTTAGCATTAAGATCATATTGTTCATTTATTACAGATGCGAGTTATTCATCACCCAGCCCTCCTGATGCAGCACCAGAACCATCCTCCGATGAAGGTATTTATTATTTAATATTTGATAATGGTCAATTTAAAATTTATATTAATGATTCTCCTTTCTTATGTAGGTGCTACTTAGACTCCGACATACCCTTTGTATACATTCCATATTGACTTGCGTCTGAAGACGCAAGACTATCTTAGTTTACCCTTCCCTTCGGACTCTCATAAGTCTAAGGTTGACTCAAGGAAGTTCCACCTACGTGCTACGAGAAAGTTGGAGGAAATGCTTCCTATGTTGCAGACTAGGAAAGCTGTTGCACTCGCAGCAAAAGAAAGAAAGATAATGAATGGTAAATTGTATAAATACTTTTAATTTTCAATTTTATATATGTTATGATATATTATCATATTGTTATTATTGTAGGTGCTAAGCCAAATCGCATAGAGGGCCGACATGGCGGAGATAAATCTGAATCTAAACAACCACCAAGAGGAATGATGGCGGTAATTCGATGTAATAGTTATAATTTGCCTGCTGGTCATTGGTCGACAAGATTGAATGCATATATTGTGGTTCTTGTGCGTAGAGCGAACATTATCAACCCTTATTTTTACTTCCGAGAACTACCATGGACCGCATACGAGGCGATCTGGACTGAGCTTATGGTAATTGCATATTGCTTTAGCTTTTCATTTATTAATAATTAGTAATTAGTATTAAATTATCCTAACTAAATGTGTATGTAAATCTACATGAATGCTTCTGCCTTGAGGACTTTTAGGGGGCTTGGAATTATGTGTTTAATGTTAAGGTTGAAGCAGTCCTCAAACAATGGAGGTATGAGATCAAACACTTTACCTATGATACATATGAGGATGACTGGTAGAGGTTTTTAAACCTTGATGACCGAGTTGACGAGCTTCATTTCACGGCTCTCCTCATGTATTAGGACAGCGATGCCGCCAAGGTTAGTTTTATGAAAACTACTTTACAAATTTAAGATATTATTTCATTGCATATTTACTAAAATATAATTTTTTAAAGAATAAATCCCCAAAGGGGTCAAAGAATAGAAGGAAGAAGCTACATGATCACCACTTGGGCGCACACTCCTATGCCAATCTAGAGGATGTTCATTGCCAGGATATGGTATATGTTATTTAAAGCTTAAAATGATCTTAATGCTTAGTATGATTATGAAATCTCATAAATGTATAATATGATAGGAAAAATCAAATATACCGATACACTTAAAGGCAAAAGCGGCATATGGTACTTTCCGTGATAGGTATAGGGGTGAGGAGAAGAATCGGAAAAAGATCAAGGTAAATCTTGAGTTGGTGGTGAGACTTATATTTATCTTAAGTAGTATTATTAACTCTATTTCGTTGTTAATATTACTATTTCGTTGTTAATATTATGAGAAAACTAGAACACAAATAATATGGTCTTTACCTTGAATTAACTATATATTTGTGTTTTATGGCGGGATTTGAGACTGCATCCAAGGAGGCTGCATCAATGAGGATGTCGCAGGAGGAGGAACAAGGGAAGCCGGATCCTCATATGCTTTCTACAGAGGAGAACATCATTCTCACGCAGAACGTAATTGGACATAATAGGTATGGATGGTAAAAAATCGATTCAATTTGAATGCTACGTTCCTATTTATATTTGTTTACATTATTGAATTCGAAAGCAAAATCTAATTTTATTTCTCCCTAATAATAGGAGAAGAAGATATCCTCTGCATGGTGTTGGAGCTTCACCCGACATAAGCATAAGATCATCCACAACATCCTCCGCGCCATCTACAACAATGAGAGAAGTCCCAAGCAGTTTTTAGGCTATGTCATTTATCGCATGCATCTTCGCGTATTTGTTTGACAAGGTTGACCCGGAGCTGTATATTCAGGTGACTACTGAGATGATCAGAGTTGCGAGGACGGCCAATTCAATGGACGATCTCATGGGGTACGTTATGGAATATTTAGGTGGTGCGATTCCCTATAGCACGTACGGTGGTATCATACGGATCATAAGCTCGATTGGCGATAATTCCAGCGCTAGGCAGAGAAGCGTTCAGGTACCTTATTTTTCTTTATATGTATAAATTCAATTTTTTTTACTATGTTATCAAATATCACATAATTATTTTTCAATTGGACCTTCAGAGTGGAAATATTGGAGGGAGCAGCACCCGTTCTCATAATCGGGATAGAAATGCTACCGCAACGACGATAGCTGAGGTTTTTTATTTTTTAATGCAATAAACAGTTTTATTTATTATAGCACTCTACTTTTATTCATGTCGTGTACCATATCTTATTCATGTGTATTACTAGTGAACATGTGGTTGGATGTGTATATTGGATGGAATTGATTGATGTATATTTTGGATTGGATGGTTGGATATGTGCATTGTGTATAATAGAATTGGTGGATATGTGCATTGGATGATTTGATTATATTTGGTTATTAATGGAATTGTTATGAATTTTGATTATATTTGGATGGTTAGATGTATTCATGTGTATAATATAATTGTATAGGAAATTAAAAATTGTAAATAAATTTATTTTGCTGTAAAAATATCAACATAGACGGAATTTCTGTCTAAGATGTCCCAATCTAGACGGAATTCCGTCTAGGTTGGTATACGACAACCTAGACGGAAATCCGTCTAGGTTTCTAACCTAGACGGATTTAGGTTGCTTTCCGTCTAGGTTGCCAACCTAGACGGATTTTCGTCTAGTTTACACTAACCTAGACGGAAACAGACTAGACGGAATTCCGTCTAGGTGATCCATCCTAGATGGAAAATAGAGCAATCTAGACGAAAATTTCTGTTTAGCTTGTTCGTTTTTCTACTAGTGATAGGGACAATCTACGGCGTTTAATGTGCACCAAATGGATATCAACTATTGGATCCGTGTACGAAACCCGACGTCCAATGATCTAACGGTTGACATCTATTTGGTGCACATTTAATGTCATGCATTCGGAACCATTTGATGCTTTTTCTGACTCGAGTGTCTGATTACCCCAATAAATGCTCCTTGTTTCAATTTCGAGGGCAGCTAGTGAATTAGAGGATGGAAGTCAAAGCATTTAATCAAAAAGAAAAATGGGCATGCAAAAACAAATAAGCGGATGAAGCACCGTGTGGTTAACTTTGTAAGACAAAGCCTAACAGACGGCATCATTCTGAATGTTACCCTATACAACGATTTGAACGCTATAAAAACCAGCTCGCTCAACTGGAAATCCACAACCACCACCCTTTTAGTCATCAGTTTCAATTTGCATAGCGTAAGCAAGACGGCTACTAAATATTCTCAGTTTGCAATTGCTATTACTGCTTTCTGCGCTTTCGAGCCCGAGCCTTGCAACCTCGCATCGATTCATGGTTGGATCGTGCCATGCTAGGGGATATTTGTGAGTTAAAGCTGGCCATTGCAACACAGAACATGACTCTGACTGTTGTAAAGTAGGGACGATCTATCCTCAATACCATGCTCTCCTCCCATTACGAGTAACACCCGTGCGACAATGACCATGAATAGTTTTGCGAAGGGCAGACATGAAGGAGGCCCATCAGAGTGTGACAACCAATGCCACAGAGAAAGTGGAATGGTGATTGCATTGTCAACAGGTTGGTACAATGGAGGGAGCCGAAGCCTAAACTACATCAATACCAATGCTAATGGCAAGTCGGTGAGAGCCAAAGTGGTGGATGAGTGTGATTCTGTGCACGGTTGTGATGCCGATCATGACTTCCAGCCCCCTTGCCCCAATAATATAGTGGATGCATCTCCGGCAGTGTGGAAGGGGTTGGATATACCGGGGTCTCAAGTTGGGGATTACGACATTACATGGTCTGATGCTTGAACATTTGTACTATCGAATCGGTATTTAAGGTTCAAAGCTGTTTGTTAATGTGAGAATTTAATATGATGCTAATATATATGTTATACTGCTACCAAGTGTATGCTGATAGTTTACATTTAAGGTTGAATATAAGGGATAATTTTGCGAAGTGATGTTTGTTTCTGAAACTAGCTAGATCGCCTATATGATCTTATTTATCAAAGCTTTCCGATTCAGTGAGCTAGCTAGCAATTTCGAGCAGTACTGTTGGAAACATTTATGATGAGAGTTAGGATTACAATTGTGATCAATGATTCTTTTCAGTCATGTGCTTCAAAAATTAAGAGTTAAAGTGATAGACGGTCTAACTAATGAAGCTAAATATATGTTATAAATTAGGTTTGTTCGTAGTGGTTGGACTCAGGGGCGGATCTATATACAGTCTAGGTAGGGCCACGGCCCCCCTAAAATTTTGGGAAAAAAAGTTAGGGTGGTTTCTGTAAAACCTTCTCAGCTATGAATATCATCAAGACTAGGCTTCGAAGCAAAATGGATGATGCTTTCCTCTCAGACGCATTAATGATGTTTATTGAAAAAGAAATTGCTAAAAGTCTGAGCATTGATGCTATCATTGAAGACTTTGAAAATTTTAAGGAACGTCGAATTCCTTTTAGTTAGAGAAGTTTTAGTTATAAAAAATTAGATGATGCTTATTTGAATATTTTCTACATAATTTTTGTCTTCCTTTTTTGAAATATTTTGGAGATATTGAAGTTGGCTATTCTAGTCGTTTTGTTTGAGTTGTGATGTATCTCTTGTGAATAAAATTGTATTAAGAAATTTTTTTTACATCTTTCCTCAAGACTGGTTACAGAATTCAGTCTTCAAAATTAAAAATTCTCTACATAGCTCTTTATATGGTGTGGTATATTATCATTCAATATCCTTGTATATACATGTATCTTTATCAAGCTAAAGAGATGATCAGAGCCTCTTGATTGTAGTTGAAATATACGAAAGTTCCTCTCTTGCCAAATCATATAGACTGAAGTAGATAATGCCAACCTTTTAAGCTTTATTTTGAAACTTTCCAAATCATATAGACTGAAGTAGATAATGCCAACCTTTTAAGCTTTATTTTGAAACTTTTCCCTCTCAAATTGTTCCCAAACCAGCTGGTGATTTGATCCCAATTACATGATTTCCATTTGAAGCATAGCCAATCCATTACTTGATTCCAAACTCTAGCTAAAAATTGGCATTCGAAGAAAAGGTGTTGACAGGTTTCAATCTGTCCTTCTCTTGAACATAGGGTGCACTAATTAGAGCTCAGAATCCTCATTTTGCAAAGTCTTTCTTGTGTTAAAAGCCTTGATAAGAATGCCAACCAGAGAATAAAGGAATGCTTAGGTAGATTCCATCCACCCCAAACAGTCCCTGACCATGTAGTCAGATTTGAGTGTTGAAAAATTTCCTACACATCACTGAAACTTTGATTTTGTCATTAGCACAGCTACCACTAATGACATTCTGGAGATTATTCACACTACCAAGTTTATCAATCAACAAATTCCTCACTCTTAATAGTTGTCTCCACTGCCATGAATCACTCTTCCTTGGTTGGACTTGCCAGATAGTATGTTGTCTTAGATAGTGACCAAGAATCCACTTAATCCAAAGGATATCCTTCTTGAGGTGAATCATCCAAAGAAGTTTGGCCGCCATAGTATAATTCCAATGCACAGCAGAGTATATCCCAAGACCCCCATGATCAGTTTCCTGGCATACAGAACTCCAGTTCACCAGGTGGATTTTATGTCCCCATAAGAAATCTGAGCACATTTTATTAATTTTTTGAAGAACTTTGATAGGGAGTATGTAGTTACTGGTCCAGTAGATTTGTATCCCCATAATTACTGATTTTATCAGTTGTAACCTGCCAGCATATGAGAGGGATCTTCTCTTGAGCCAATTATAAAATTGGTCTGAAATCTTATTAATGAGGGGAGAGCAATCCAACCAAGAGAGTCTTTTAGCTATCAGAGGTAGACTCAGATATCTCAAAGGTAAAGTTCCCTCAGAGAAATTAAGAAGATTCCAGATTTGGTTCTTCAGATTTTCATCTACTCCACTCATGAATATGGAACATTTTGATAGGTTAGCTTCTAGGCCAGATGCCCTACTGAATTCAGCTAGACAATCCCTTAGTCTTGATATTGTATTCATATCAGCTCTGCCAAAAAGAAGTAGATCATCCGCAAAAGCTAGATGTGTTATTTTCAGTCTTGAGCACTTAGGATGAAATTTGTAAAGCCTGTCCTCCTTGAGAGTGTTTAATTTCCTAGACAAATATTCCATTCCAATAACAAACAAATAAGGTGATAAAGGATCCCCCTGCCTCAAACCCCTAGCACCTTGAAAATATCCATTAGGAGTACCATTAATAGATATGGAAAATTTTAGGGTAGAGATGCACTCCATAATCCAGGAAATCATGTTGTCAGGGAATCTTAAACCTTTCAGCATGTCACTGATGAACATCCAACTAATTGTATCAAAAGCCTTCCTCATATCAATATTTAATATGGCTCTAGGGGAATTATTTTTCCTGTCATAATGCTTAACAATCTCATGAGCTAAGAGGATATTACTTAATATAAGCCTACCCTTCACAAAAGCACTCTGTGCATCACTTATCAGGTATCCCACTACTTTTTGAATTCTGGATGCAATGATTTTGGTTATGATTTTATACACACAGTTGTAGCAAGATATAGGTCTAAAATCTGCAGCATATTGAGGATTAAGAACCTTAGGTATCAAAGTAATAGAAGTGGAGTTGAAAGTACCAAGCAGTTTTCCTGATATAAAAAATTCTTCCACTGCAGAGAAAAGTTCTTCACTGATAACACTCCAAGATGCTTTGAAGAATAGGGCATTGAAACCATCTGGGCCTGGACTTTTATCATTTGACATAGAAAAGACAGCTTGTTTAATCTCATCCCTTGTAACTGGAGAACTCAGCTCATGTCTTTGATCAGAAGAGAGAAGAGGGCCATTAGCAATAACCATTGGATCAGGATGATTTGTTTGAATTGAAGTCCCCAATAATTTTTTGTAATAATCCACAATTTCAGTAACAATTTCAGCACTGTCAGTGATCCTAATTCCATTCTCTGTATAAAGAGATAGAATTCCGTTTTGATGCCTTTTCTTTTTCATGATAGAATGGAAGAATTTAGTACCTTTACCCCCATCAAGGCACCAATTAATGTTTGCTTTCTGCTTGTAAAAAGATGATTCACAATCCAGAAGCCTTTCATATTTTTTGGTACAATCTTTCTCTCTTTTTATCAGTTCAGGGTTAAAAAGATCCCCACTTAGTAGCCTTTGAACTTCAGTTAAGCTATTTTTTGCTCTAAGAACTTGCTCACTTATATTCATATAGTGCTTCTAGCCTTTGAACTTCAGTTAAGCTATTTTTTGCTCTAAGAACTTGCTCACTTATATTCATATAGTGCTTCTTATTTAAATCTTTAAGAGCAGTCATTTTTTGCTCTAAGAACTTGCTCACTTATATTCATATAGTGCTTCTTATTTAAATCTTTAAGAGCAGTCTTAAGCATTTTAAGCTTAGAATGGAAACTGTACATTTTGAAACCATCTATGTTTTTCTCCCAAACAGCTTTGACTATAGGAATGAAGTCAGGATGTTTTACCCACATGTTGAAGAATTTGAATGGCCGCTTACCAGCTATAATATCATCTTCTATGGTTAGAAGAGCAGGAGAATGATCTGAGCAGCTAGGTAGCAGATATTCAACTTGGCTTGTTGTATATAAATGAATCCAGTCTTCATTCACTAAGCATCTGTCTAATCTGGACCAAATTCTTGTATCTGCATTGTTTATTATTCCATGTGAAGTAGCATCCAGTTGATTTCAAATGTAGAAGGTGACTGGAGCTGATAAAGTTCTGAAAATCCTCAATATCAGATTCTGATACAGATACACCTCCTATCTTCTCATCATAACCAGTAATTGCATTGAAATCCCCTCCAATAACCCAAGGACCATTAACATTACTATTAAAAGTTAGAAGATCACTCCAAAGAATTCTCCTGCTTGTCATTTGGTTATGAGCATAAACAATAGTACATAAGCTGGAGAATTTACCATCTCTGGATTCAATCCGACAGGTAATGTATTGGTCTGTTAAGATTATATCTTGTACTGTAAGAACATCACTATCCCACAGTAACCAAATCCTTCCATTACCAGCTTCATGCACATTAGAAATCCACTTCCAGTCTTTGGTTATTTTCATAGCCAAATTTTGAAGTTTATTACCAGGAATTTTAGTTTCCAGAAGACCTAACAATGAGAGATTGTAATCTTGAATAAACTGTTTCACTATCTTGTGTTTAGAGGACTTATTAAATCCTCTTATATTCCAAATAGCAATGTGCATTAAAGAGAGCTTCCCCCCTGTCAACACATGAGGGATTATCCAATGAAGAGAAAAGAGATAACTGAATACCTGAGTTAACAGGCTTGATTATAGAAGCTCTTCTTGCAATTTTAGCCCTTCTTATACTAGAAAAACCAGTTGCATTAACACTTGGAGTAGCTTGATGAAGTTGCAAATCATTTATTGCATTTATTCCATATTCTGCTACTTTTCCAGTCCCAGATCCATTCACCTAGACAGAAGAGGGAAAAATTGTATGTGCATGCTTTTGTGCACGTTTTCCAGTTAACAAAGCTTCCTGATTTGGGGGATCAAAAGGACTTTCTGCTTTCTCTTCCTGTGTACTAGTACCAATATTGGTATCTGCATTAGAATCTTGTTGAGTAGAGATATCATTTACTGGAACAAAATCCTCAAGCTCAGGATTGACTACCTCCTGCACAGACTGTTTAGCTATAGGAACCCACATTTTCTTTGTTTTGATTCTTCTACATTGCTCATTATCATGGCCAATTTTGCAGCATATTGTACACCATTTAGGCTTA